TGGGTCAACTCAAATTAAGCAAATCTGCCAAACCAACTTAATAATCACTTATAAGTCACTGTCACCTCTCAGACAGTGAATTGCACACGAACTACGAGGACACCGCCAGTCCGGTCCTGAGGCCGGCGTTAGCCCCGAGACGAGACAACAGTCACACGAGAAAGCAACTCCGGGTATTGTACACAATAAATCATACTCCGGGTGGATGCCAGAGTTACGCCTTTATTGTTGTTTTATTCCTTGGGGACTCCAAAGGGCGTAATCAGACGGTGACACCACTGAAGTCAACGTTACAACAACGTGTAGACATGTATGATATTCCTTCATTTACCCTCAATCACATATTAGCGCACACTTGTTAGGTGAGTTAACTGCGTTGACTGAATCTAATGGGATTTCAATCAGTGGCCAATATGTGCTTCGTAAGTAGGCATCAGCGTTCTGTGGATGGTTATTCCAGTAGCACCTACCTATTGGATACCTACTAAGCTTTTATTGCTTAAATGTGTCTCGGAATTCCCTCTACTCACTGACATCTTTATCCATATCTAACGTGGTCTGGCCTATCTTTGCCTACCAAACGTTGTGGCTTAAGGATTGCCCACCTACAAAGAAAAAACATTTCAGCAAATCCATTTCGTTGTGGCCTTATTGCAACTTAACCCGGGAGGGATTCAGAGTGCTCTCTCTTTATAGAGAGGTGGGGCTCTTAGACTGGCTCTTTAGACTGATCGGCCACTGTACCTGAGCTCATCTCAGGTCTCCTTCGGGGCGTTCTTTTTCCATCTTGCCCATCATGTCTGATGATTTTGTGTCGTGTCTCCATAAAACGCTATGCTATAAAACAAACGCTACTGGCGTATAGAAAGTAGTATTACAACGGTAATTTATCGGGCGTTCCGTTCGCAGCGGCCAGTTCGTATTGCAGCGTGTACTGATATATAGATTCAACTTCCGCATAAAAACGTCTAATGATTCTGAAACGACGACATCCAGAGGCAGAGTATTCAAATCTTCGACCACTTTTTCTTCGAAAAAAAGTGGTTTTCGAGTGTCCAGCCTGGCCCCGATCATACGTAATTTGAGGGGATGACTTCTCAAGTTCGTTGTTGTTGCTAAGTCGAAGAAATCTCCTGATACAAGACAGCACTCCTGAACGCTTAATATGCGGAATGTTAGTATCAGGTCCCCCCGAAGCTGTATGTAACGCAAGGCAAAGCGAGTGATATTTGACAACCGTGTTTCATAAGACTGGGAAACGTGTCCAATTAAAAGTTTGTTAGCACGCCTTTGAACCTT